GTGTAGCTCACGCTGGACGTGAGAGCCCACGGGATCCTTCTGCTTCAGCATCCCCGGGGCTGGGTTAGGAGGACGCAACAGCACGCCTGGCTGCTCCGGTCTTCTTACTGGATGCGGTGGGCTCTTCCCCTGCGTCGCTGTTCCAAAGGGGGTCACCAGTCAGCTAAGCCAGTTGCAGTTGATTCGCCATGGACAAATCCCCGTGAGAGAGCGTCACAAGTCCAGGCAAGGCCAGGACACAACAGAAGAGTGAGCGACCCTGCCGTTGTGAGAGGTGAGAAATTCGGAATCAGGTCGTTGGCCTCACGGACAAGACTTCCTCATACTGTATCTCTTGACTCACTCATTCTAGGCCAAGAAAACACGTGCCAAGGAGAGTCACATGACTGATGAATAAACGTACTTTCTGGTGTTGAGGCAGAGAAACCTCAGGACTTCAGACTGTAAGCACCTTGTGTTCCCTCCTCAAAAGCTGCAAATCTGTCTTTCAACACTTCAGTATTGCTAGAAGGAACTATTACCTGGAGTCCTGCGACCCCCTTGGTTACCGTCTTGTTTGGCATGAGACGTGCATAGGACGTTAGTAAAGCGTCCTGCTGGAGTGTCTGGTTGCATCGTGGAGGGGTGTCGTTTGGAACCTCATCTCTTCCCTCCCCCTTCCTCTGCGGCACCTGTTTTGCTCTATTCTTCCTGGTTCTCAGGTAGCAGTTTTGTTTCTTCATTTCCTTCCACTGTGCTATTTCTCTGTTGAGGTCAAGTAACAGCTGAAATCAATCTCTGAAACTATGAGCTAAAATAATCTTTTTCTTTTTAAGTCCTGTATGTCATGCATTTTGTACTTACAACAAACAAAAATCATTAAAATTAACATTGGTTGTTAAATCTTCGTAGATTTTCTTCGTATGAACATTATTCAGTGTGATTCCAGCAACTCTTTGCATATCAAAACCACTTCTCGTAGCCTATATATTTTCGAGCCCTAGAGGACTGAATGCCCATGCTTTATACCTGATGTACCAGCGCCAAGGTATTCCAGTGCTGATTACTGGCTCTCACCAATATGCCCACCCCACCCCCATTGCACGCATTTGGGAAACATTTGTGCTGCCCACTTTTCCCTTATTTGGGGTCCTTGTTGCAGGCTCAAAATGTGAGGACCTTTTAGTCTCTCGGTGTACCCTGGAGAGCAATGGTGGTGGGAGGAAAAGATAGACAAGAGACAAGAGCTGGGTCAGGTGGAGACCTCTTTACCAAATGGGAGAAGAGGACTGAACAACAACAGTAGGGGCATGTATTTATACTTTTGCAAAGTTAGTATCTTGAGACACAAGGTCGCCTAGTCACTAATGACTGAAATTTTCTACACAGGATGATTTTCTCAAGACTGAGGTAGCTTGACTGCTTTAGGCACTCTGGCTCAAAGTTGTAGAAGTGGAGAAATGAAAAACCCCTCCAGGTTTGGTAGGAGCCTGGACTTTTTTCCATTCTGTATCTTGTTATTGAGCTACATCAGGTTCCCAAAGTAGTTGTTAGGTCATGGCTTTCAGTGTGTGGACATATCTTGAGATCTTTTTCTAAAGACAGAGGGGGAAAGGCATCTTGTGATGTTGGGCCACAGATGATGCTAAATGTCATACAATGAACAAGATAGCTTTCATTACACGTAAATAATTTTGAGGTATACTGACATGACTGCTTATATTTTTTGATTTTGATTATAAACTCAAATCTCAAGCCCTTTTCTCCTTTGCACAGGTTCAAGGGTGGTATCTAATCCATTCATTCCAGTTGTTACTTAGAAATAAAGTTTATTTTTACAAGTTCCATCAATTAAGTATTATTTGGTCTTTGAAAATTTCAGATTATTCTCCATTAAGAAACTAATAACAGTTCTCAAGCCACTAATAACCTTAGTGTGATAGAAAGCATAGAAATTTCATATAAGACCATTCAAAGGGCTTTCAATTTATTCTATCAAAAACCCTAAACTATGATCCAGTGCTGCAATGGTTGTAAGAGTTTTCATAGTTCCTCTGGTGTGACAAGCTTTGCAAAATAGCCACAATAAATTTGTCCCTAGCATTCACACCAAATATCACCATATTCAACATGACACAATTTCAAAGAAACAATTAAAACAGAAGACTGCAATTGAGCCTCAAGAAGATTAAACCCTAAGGTAGCTACACTATCCGAAATGGAGTCGTATTTAGTAATGATTAGGATTTGACTAGAGAAATACATGGATCTAACAATAGTTGGGTCTATAGTGCTATGAGAGGATCAAAAATTTGTTCTAAAAAGTTAAAAAGTATATGTAAATCATTTGGCATGCATCACCTTGTGAAAAGGTCCCACAATACTCAGGAAATAGTGGACAATTCACATTCAGTCTGTTGGGAGTTGCTGAAACTGTTGAATTGACTTTTCCTGGATCCTTGTTGATTTTACAAGATCCTTCCTTTCATGGTCGCTAGCTGCCATGCTGTCTTCAAAGTCTGAGATTCTATCTTCAGCCTCATTCAAGTGGTTTTGGCAGCTTTCAATGGTAGCTTTGTTTTCCTGGGAGTCTCTTTGAATCTGGTTCATGCATTCTAAGTCCTTTCTATATTTTTCATTTAATGCTTCTGTCCATTGCCTTAGTTCTTCTATTTTCTTATATGTTTCTTCTTCAGACTTTTTGAGCAGTTCCTTCATTATTATTGTCATTTCATTTTTTGCCTGAGAGATTATTTCTGATATCATCTCTTCTATAGCCTTATGGAATTCTAATGGCCTTATGCCCTTCTATGGCCATTGCAATAATTTCAGCTAATTCAGACATGTGTTTACCAAGTTCTCCTATATCGATGTCTCCTGGACTTGTTCTGAGTGGGGTGGAGTTCTGGGATTGTGTTTTAGTCCTTTGTTTTGTCATGTTTGCTACCAGATGCAGAAAGCTGTTTCCCTCTTCAGTGGCTGCACAGCAAAGGCCACTAGTGTCCCTAGTCTTCCTCTTGGTCAGGTTTGCCCGTCAGTGACCCCTGAGAAGCACTACTTAGTCTCAGGTTTTCTGGAAGTTGTTGATTTGTATCTAGTTATCCCAGGTCTCAGATGCGGGCATTGGTGTCAGCTCATGGCAGACCATCTGATCCAGCATCCCCTTGCAGTTTAGGGCACGTGCATGGCCCAGACTCGGGTTGCACTGTTGTGACAATCCCAGTCCAGTGGACCTATGTCCCCAGGCAGTTCAGGGTGCAGGCAAAACCCAGGCGCAAACTACAGGGTCGACAGTTTGTGAACCACTTGATTCTTCATCTCTAGTCAGTTCAGGACACATACAGGAATGAGATGCAGGCCGGACGGAGTGCAGTCACAGACTGCCTGTGCCTGCAAGCCCCAGGGGGTCCAGGTGCAAGTAAAGCACGGACTTGAACTGCTGCACCAGCAGCTCTTGGAGCACTCGCTTCCTCGACACAGGGAGCACGCAAGGAGGGCCACATGCGAACCCCAGTGAGAGCAGTCCCCAGGCCTTCTTAGTGAGGATCACCTGTCTGCCACAAGTGCACAGAGGGCAGAAACTCAGACTGTAATGCTGGTGGGGTCTTCAGTCGTCTGCTCTGCCCCCAGGAAGTAGATTGGAAATACCTGGCTCTCCACGAGTTTCAGCTGGGAACCATGGCGGTGTGAGTAAAGCACGTACTCGAACCACGGGACCAGCAGGTCATGGAGCACTCACTCACTGGGAACAGGGCATGCACAGAGAGGGGCTGCATGCATACCCCAGTGAGAGAAGTCCCCGGGGCTTCTGAGTGAGGACCTCCTGTTTGCCGCGGGTGCACGGAGGGCAGAGACTCAGACTGTAATGGCGGCGGGTCCTAGGTCACTTGCTCTGCCCCCAGGAAGTAGATGGGAAAAAATATATAAGACAAATCTTAACAGACATGAAAACCCATATAATTAATAACACTATTGTAACAGGGGACCTCAACTCCCTTTTGACACAAAGAGATGTGGGAGTTGGTGGCCTCTCCAAGGTCCCCAGGAGAAAATGGTGAGAGGATATAGAAAATAAAGATAAGAGACAATAGCCGGGGTCAGGTAGAGTTACCTCTTGCCTGATGAGCAGGAGGACTGGCTGCAAGAATAGGGGCATTTATTTTATACACTTGCAAAGTAGTATCAAGCGGCTCCCAACATATCTCCCTTTTCTGTTTGGTTGCAGAAATGATTGGTGTTCATTTGAAGCTGGAAAAGCTGTGCTTGAAGAATATAGTCCAAAGTCCATAACAATTATTAATTTAGCTGGCAGCTGTCAGAAGTTGTTGGTGACTTGAACCTTTTATGGCTAACCTATTACTGTGGTTACACTTTTTTTTTTCTTTACATCTTGTGGTTACACTTTTCTGCTGGATGTTCAAAGCCAAGTTAAAGTGAGACCTGTGTAAATAAAAATTTAACCTTTTGCTCTCTATCCAGGTCAGTTAATTCTCCTCAGGAATCATCTTGGAACCAAGTACAGCATCTCTTGATCTTCTCTCAGTGTCAGCCATCTGGATGAGTCATGACCATTGCTTGATAAAGGCTTTCTCAGAAAGCTTGAGGGATTTTTTCTCTCCTGGTGACTCTCCTTAGGCACACTACGTATTGTAGTATCACATTCCTCTGTGGTCCCATAATCTCCTTGATCAGAAAATCAGGGACTCAACCGAGTTATAGGATGTCACAGCACAGGTTCTTTCCTGCCCTTAGTCTATACTGACCTCAGAGGGCATAGCCAAAATATTGGCTGTCCTCTAGCCCAATTTATCTTTCTAATTTTTGGTCTCCAAACCTCAGTTGTTACCCATCCAGCAGAGAAGATTAATGGTATAATGTTGGGAGCCACTGGAGCTGTTATTTGTCAAGCAGTCAAGCTATCTCAGTATTGGAAAAGGCATCCTGCCACACAATTACAGTCATTTCTCGCTAGGCAACATTTCCCCCCAATGATACTAACTTTGCAAGTGTATAAAATAAATGGCCCTACTGTTGAAGTCAATCCTCCTGCTCATTAGGCAAGAGGTAACTCCACCTGACCCCAGCTATTGTCTCTTGTCTATTTTTCTCATACCCACCATTATTTCTTTCCAGGGTACAAAGAGAAATCAACAAGGTACACTACATGTAGCACCTGAACTGGACACCTGCTGAGAGAAAACAGGTGAGCAGTGGGTACACTTCCCAAGAGCACACAGCAGAAGGGGGGAATGCATTTGTGAAAGCTAGTATTCAGCACTGGAGTGCATGGCACTGGCACATCAGGTATAAAGCGTGGGGATGTATGTTCTGTAGGGCTAGAAAATATATAGGCTTCAAAGAAGCCAAAAGAGAAAGGGATATTGAAGTGCAAGTAGCAGCTCAAGACTCCCGGGGTAGATTTCTGTGGAAGTGTTTGTTGCATGTTTGACTCCTATATTCAATTTTCTGGATGTTGGTTTGGAGGGGTTTTGTAACCCTAAGGGATTTGTTAAATCAAGTCCAGAGCCTAAAGGGGACGTGGAGGGTGGAGAAAGGGCTCCACCAATAGAGTCTGAGCCCTCTAACCTGGTCCAATTTAAGAAAGAAAGAGTGGTGGTTGCCTTCCTCTCCTCCTGCCCACAACACCCAATCTAAGGGGGCACATGGTAGGAGGACACAAGAGGGCAACCTTCAGCCACATGGTCACAGGCAGCCATCTTGTCTTGAGCCACATGGTCACTGGCAGCCATCCTGCTGTGGGTCACATGACCACTGGAGGCCATCTTGCCCTGACTCACATGGTCACCAGCAGCCATCCTGCCCTGAGTCTCATGGTCAGCAGCAGCTATCTTGCTGCAGGTCACACAACCACCCTCCGCCATCTTGTCCTGACTCCTCGCTGCCCCCCGTCCCTGACTCCACTTACCCTCCACCACCCCCTAATTCATCTCAGCCTCAACGTCTGTGCCCCCTTCGGGAACAGGCTAGCCCTGAAGGGCTAATTCATATCCATGTTCCTTTTACCCTCTCCAACCTTTCATAGATTTCTAATAAATTGGGGTCTTTTGCAGCTGATCCCCACAGACATGTTTCAGAATTAGAGTTTGTCACCGGCTCTTATGATTTACATTATAAAGATATTTTTACCATCTTCAACTCCACTCTTTCTCCTCATCAAAGAAAGGAGTTATGGGAAGCAGCCCAAGAGGAGGCTAACATTAAGGACTGAGCTAATCCAGATTATCCTGATGGAGCTTCTGCAGTGCCATTTATGGATCCCTATTGGGACTATCAGGAGCCTGAGGGCTCCCGCAAAGTCAACATAATGATCAATTGTGTTGTAGCGGCCCTTAAAAAGATCTCTCATAAACCTGTTAACTATAATAAACTTGTAGAATAGACTCAGAGGAACAATGAAAATCCTGCTGAGTTCCTGGCCAGACTCACTGACACTCTAAGTCAGTTTATAGACATTGATCCAGAGTCAAATGTGGGGATAGTACTTGTTAATTCTCACTTTATCTCGCAATCAGCCCCAGATATTCAAGCTAAATTTAAGAAATCTGAGCTCGGCCCTCACTCTTAACCGAAAGAGCTCTTAGCCTTGGCCTTTCATGTTTTCAATAACAGGGAGGAACAACAAAAATTAGATAAACAGGCTAGCAGGATGGCAGTTGCTAAGGTGGCTGCCCAATATCAACATGAGATTCTAGTAGTGGCACTCGGGGTTTCTAAAGCAGACAGACCTAAACAGATGGATGCCAAACAAGGTGGTGCCAGTAACAATGTCTGAGCCCCTCCCGGACCATGCTTCAAATGCGGCAATGAAGGACACTGGGCATGAGCCTGCCCCGTAATCAAACCCAATGGCTCCTATCACTTAGTTTAAGACCTCAGGGTTATTAATAATGTAGTCACACCTATTCATCCTGTAGTGCCTAAACCCTACACCATGCTCTCCCATATTCCCCCTTCCACAACTCACTTTACGGTTCTGGACCTAAAAGATGCCTTTTTCACCATCCCACTGCATCCAGACTGCCAAAACTCTTTGCCTTTACGTGGACAGACTCAGATACTCTACAGCTCACGTGGACAGTACTACCTCAGGGATTCAGAGATAGTCCTCACTTATTCAGTCAAGCCCTAGCTACAGATCTAGAGGCCCTTAACCTTAAACCCAGCACTCTGCTCCAGTACATAGATGACCTCCTTCTCTGTTCCCCTTCCCATGCGCTGGCAATACAACACAAAGTTACTCTCCTCAATTTTCTGTCAACCGAGGATATAGAGTATCCCCAGCCAAAGCCCAAATAGCCTCTCCAAAGGTCAAATATTTGGGGCTCACTCTCACTCCCACCACTCATTCCATTACCACAGACCATAAGGCTCTCCTGCATGACCTCCAGGTCCCAACCACAAAACAACAAATCCTCTCTTTCCTTGGTTTAGCCAACTTTTTTTGTCTCTGGATTCCTAACTTTGCTTCTCTCACTCAGCGTCTCTACAAGTAATCCAAGGGCTCCTTCTCTGAACCTCTTGACCCTACCAGACCTATACAAAGCTCTTGCCATAAGCTACAGGAGGCTCTTTTGAGAGCCCCAGTTCTCACTTTACCTGACCCCACCCAGCCCTTCATTCTGTACACTTCCCCTCAGGGTAATAATGTAGTGGGAGACTTAGGACACAAAAGGGGACCTTCATTTCAGGCAGTGGCATTTCTCTCAAAACAGCTAGACAACACAGTTCAAAAATAGGCTCCCTGTCTTTGGGCTCTTGCTGCAGCAATCATATTGACACAAGACACAAAAAAGTTCACCTTAGGACAGTCTATCACAGTACATTCACCACATCACCTTAATGAGCTCATCTCACACAAGACAATTCTGAGTTTAATGACTCCTTCCCACCTGCAGGAAGTTCATCTGACACTCATATGGGACACTTCCATTACTAAATCACTAGTGGACCCCTCAACCCAGCCACTTTACTCCCCACTCTTGATGAACTTCCCCAACATAATTGTGTTGATGTCTTGCAGATGACCCCAACTCCCTTTCCTCGTATCACCAGCACTCTTCTCCCCACAGCCTCTGACACATGGTTCACAGATGGCAGCTCAACAAACACAGACACCAAGAGGGGAGCAAGATATGCCACCGTTAACGGGTCAACAGTGATAGAGACAGAACCGCTGCCACCCAGGACATCTTCACAAAAGGCAGAACTCATAGCCCTTACGCATGCACTCACTCTAGCCAAAGATAAGATTATCAGTATTTATACAGACTCCAAACACACATTCAGCATCCTCCACTCTCACGCTACAATTTGGCAAGAAAGAGGATTCATTAGTGCTCAGGGCACACCTATTACCAATGCACCTCTCATCCTCAAACTTTTAGAAGTGGCACAGCTCCAAAAACAAGCAGCCATCATCCACTGCAGGGGACACCAGACTCCCACAGACGCTATTGCTCAGGGAAATATATTTGCTGACACACAGGCTAAGTTGGCTGCTCAACAGCCGTATCCTTCCTGTCTTCTCCCCCTTACTCCAAAAGCCATGCCCTCACCTCAGTATTCGTCAGAACAACTACGCTTACTCCAAAAACCCGATTATCATCAAAACACTCAAGGATGGATTTTTCAGGGGCCAAAACTTCTCCCAGACCAACGGGCACAGATCATCATCACAGACCTACACAACTGCTTCCATGTCGGTACTCAAGCCTTATATGAACTCCTAACTCGTCACCACACATCCTTCCCTGAAGGCCATCACTCTCCAGGTCACTCAGAACTGTCAGCTCTGTGCTAAAACTTCCCCTCAGGGACACTTGCCACCCCCTTCTTTCCCAACTCACCAGCTCTGAGGGAAAACACCAGGTGAAGACTGGCAAGGCGACTTCACATACATGCCCCGCTACAAAACCTGTAGATATCTTCTCACCCTTGTTAGTACCTTTTCTGGGTGGATAGAAGCATTCCCCACCACACAAGAAACTGTTGATGTAGTTTCCCAGACCATTTTACAGGACATTATTCCCAGGTTTGGACTGCCACGGACTATCCAGTCAGATAATAGTCCAGCATTTATCTCATAGATTACTCAACAGGTCTCTTCTAGCCTTAACATTACTTGGCACTTACATATACCATAGCATCCACAATCCTCGAGCAAGGTAGAAAAGGCAAATGGACTTCTGAAGACTCACGTTACCAAGCTAATCTTAGAATTACACCTGCCTTGGCCCCAGCTTCTCCCCCTAGCATTAACTAAGCTCAGGGCATTTCCTAAAGCACCCACTTTCCTGAGTCCTTTCGAGCTCATGTATGGTAGGCTATTTCTGCTTCATAACTTCCCAACTCCTGACAACTTACCCCCTATTGCTGACTACATCCCAATTTTATCTTTTCTTTGATACCTCTTGCATCAATATGCGGACCTCTGTCTTCCACAACCAGTGGATGGCAAACAGCCAGAGCCACCCATAACACCTGGAGACTTAATATATCTTAACACTTCTAAGCCTACAGGACTACAATCAAGGTGGGGAGCCCCCACTTGGTGGTGGGCTCATGACTCCCACAGCCATCAAGGTCGCTGGCCTTCCATCTTGGTTTCAAATCACCCAGGAAAAAAGGTGTCCCAGCAATCTGGTCACTCCAGACCCCAAACCTCCAACGTCAGAGTGGTCATCACAACTTTTATCTCCTACCCATCTAAAACTCACTAGAACCTCTAGTGAGTTACCAAGGTAACCAATGTATTGTGACCCTCTTCTGCTTTTGGTCCTCTACATACTACTTATCTTAGCATTTGCCATCGGACTGTGAACTGTTTGTCCAAGTGATTTCCAGGTGGCACAAAAGCTTGCTGTTGTCCTCCTATACTTGATAATGGCCTTTGGGATCTCCACCCTCCTCTGTCTACCTCAGGCCTCAAAAATATGATTCTGTTTCTGAGCCTCACACTATTCCTACCTTTTTCCAGCTCCACTCCACAAACACAACCTACCTACACCATAAGTCTCCCTCTCTCCAACCAAGGGATGGTGTGTTCTCGCAATTTTACTCCCTCAAATCCCAAGGTTACCTTTCAGGTTCCATACTGTCAAATGGTGCCCATTCAGTGTACCTGGGAAGCAGAAAAATGGATGCAAGTCTGACGGACAACTGCACACCTCTGGGCCCCGACACCAAGACACTTATGCAGTGGCCCCAAGGGACCATGCTGCCATCTGTGTGGCTTATACATCATTCCTCAGCCTGCCATTGTTTGCCAGAGGCAATGCACCGATACCAGCATCTTCTATCTTGAAACTTCGGTTTGTGAAACCACAGGTATAAACTCAGGGGGACAAGTAGTAAAGGACGCAGATCCTCTCATCTCAGCCAGGTTTGTAAAATGGGGTGATGGGGTCAGACGGGTAATGTTCTCAATCCTCAATGCACCACATCCCCAACTCCTCCTGGGAAAGACATGGGGCCTCTCCTTTGATAATCAGGGCGAAAACAGGCGTGGCAACTTTTTAACCCTAAAAACCCAGCTGGTGACCCCACTTCCAGTAATAGAGGTTCCAGCTTACACTTCTGGAGTCCTACAATCTCAGGTCACTCCTCCTATTCCACGCCTTCTTTCACATGTCTACGGCACACTCTCACATTCTTCCAACCTTACAGAATGTTGGCTCTGTGTCCCTTATCGGCAGGACATACACATGGCAGCTCCTACACTGGAATTCCTCACACCCGTCCTTTCCACACAATCCAGCCATGGTAGGCCCACTGCAGAGCTATCCCTCTCAACAGTGGCCAGTTAACCTCACCTGTCTGATCTCTGAGGTCAAAAACACCTCTCTACAGCTAGACAACCTACCTCACTGCACACACTACATTATGCACACAAAAGACAGGGCTGTCTGTTCACCAAAGGGATGGTTTATAGGATGCAAAAAGGGAGCATACACTTGTCTCCCCACAAGGTGGACAGGATCATGCACATTGGTCTTGTTAGTCCCTGCCCTAACAATAAACTCTCAAGATACCATAGAGATGTCACTCCTATCCAAATCTCCAGATATTCATCTAAACCACAAAATTAGGACTATTCATGCTCCCATCCTTATAGGAGCAAGCATTTCTGCAGTATTAGGAATAGGCCTAGGAGCAGGAGGAATAGGCATGGGCATACATGCTCAACAGCTGTACCACCAGCTCTCCCTAGAACTTCATCGAAGGACAGATGACATTACACCTGCCATACGTTCACTTCAAAATCAGGTTAATAGTCTGGCAGCAGTCACTCTCCAGAATCAACGTGCCCTTGACGTCTTGATGGCTGAGAGAGGGAGCACCTGTGCTATGTTGGGAGCAGAATGCTGCTACTTCATAAATGAAACTGGGATCGTTACGGACAAGATAAAAAACCTTTGCACCTGGCTTGAGCATAAATACCCAGAACTGGGAAACTACCTCTCCCCCACTTCACCATGGTCCTGGTGGAATGACACATTTGGGTCATGGGCACCATTCTTGCTACCTCTTCTGGGCCCTATAATCATGATAATGGCCTGTTTACCGGTAGGGCCCTGCATTTTTAAACTTTTGTCTAGTTTTGTTCAATTCAGGCTTCGTGAAATCGCGGCCAAAGAACTCGTCGCTCAGGCAGACATTCCCAACACTGGCGGGCACGTAGGCAACACCTGTCGTCCCCTTGCCCCCTACCATGGTGGTGCCCCTATTGAGCAGGAAGCAGTTTAAGAAGAGTCCTTGCCCCCATAACCAAAAAGGCGGGGATGAAATATCTTCATAATTCCTTTAGAGTCGCTGTGGCGCCACCTACTGGAGACTATATGCCATGGCCAATATGGCACTGGCCTCTCAAGGCCTTGTGCTATGCCCCACCCTTCTTCCCAGAGTCAAATTACGACTTCCTACTCCCCTTTACGTAATATCCTGTTTCATTTTCCCACCCTCCCACCAAATGCTGGCTTGCCAGGTCAGGTAGCCCACCCCCTAAACCCTGCCTCTAGCCTGACCATATATAACCATTGTCCCCTTTGTTCACCCCGGAAGACTCGCTCCCTTTCCACCCCTCCTCCTTGTGGTCTTCTCCGTGCTCTGTAATAAAAGTGTTTTATTACTCTCTGCACCACTGGCCAGACACCTTTTAGGTATCACTGGAATAATCAGTGTCGATCTACAACTGCTGGGAAAAGTGGGCCCTTTCTGGGAAACCCCCATTGGAGATTCCCTCAGCCCCATCAAATAATGGGGACCACCCAGATGGCTGCAATGGGGGACAAAGTGCTGGGTGCATTCAGGTACCCAGGGTGTGCTCCCTCCTATCTCTTCCCCTGTGCGCAGGACACCAAGGGCACCCATGGTTGGCAGCTGTGTGGTGGGAAACTCCCTCCTGCCTCGTTCTCCTCTGCCAGGCTCCTGTCGCACACGAGCCCAGGCTTCGGGCCGGGCCCCTGCAGACCGAGCTGCCATGACGTGGGGGTGCAAGTGAACCAGCGATGCGACCCATCCGTACAGTGCATGCTGGGCGGCAGACACCCTGCGCCGGGCCGGGACCAGGAGTCCCAGCCGCCCCCACTTGCTTCCCGTGCTCCTTTGCTGTGTGCTCACCTGTGAGTTCCCACGGTCTCACCGGCGGCCTGGAGAAGGTCCCAGCAAGCATGCAGGGCCCTGTGGCACCAGAGGAGGCAGGAAGGAAGACATCCCCACCACCAAGGGCTGGGCGGGAGTGCCAGGAGGCTCCAACTAGTGAAGCAGCCCCACAGCCTGCACTGCAGAAGCCAGGGCAGCCCCTGGCAGTGGGGAGGGCTAGGGGCGGTGGAGACACAACCTCCACTGTGCAGGAGAAACGCTGCCACGTGCCCTGCCAAGCAAGAAGCACTTGCGCTTCCAGCAAAAATATGGCTATTATCACTGTAAAGACTGCAACATCCGCTGAGAGAGTGCATTCGTTTGGTGTATCCAGGGTACAAATAAGGTTTATTTTAAACAGCGCTGCAGAATGTGTCAAAATTCTTACAACCCTTGCCGAGTGAAGGATATCACCTGCCAAAGTTGTAAAAGAACTAAATGTTCTTGCCCAGTAAGATTTCGCCGTGTGGACCTGTGTGACAGGTGCGGGAGCAGGCGCCCGTGCTGTGATGGCAGCAGTGCTCGGAATCTGGGCAAAAATAGAGTATCCGGTGGTCAGAACAAAAGCGATGGCCCGCACGCACGGAGGCTGGGCACGTCCCCCGTGGCTACAGAGGCAGTGACCACGGAGCCGCTTGTGGGGGGCGCGCAGGCAGTGGAGCCCAGGCCTGAAGATAAAGCAGGACTGTTGGGGCCCTGCCAGCAACTTGCTGGACCCCAAGGCGATGAGATGGAAGCTGCAGCCAGTTACCGCCAGAGCCTGAAGTGTCAGCGCTGCCCTGCCCAGGGCTGTAACTAGGGGCTGCTGCCCCGCCAGAGCCTGAAGTGTCAGCGCTGCCCTGCCCAGGGCCGTGACTGGGGGCTGCTGCCTCATGGGAGCCATGCCCTCCCCCCTCCCTGCTCCCAGCCACTCCCACTCCCTGCCCACAGCGTCCTTCCCCCGGCTCACTGCTGCTCTGGTCCAGGTGCTGGAGGACACTGGGGTGCCGGATGGAACCGGGAACAAAGAGGCCAAGGCTCAAGGCAGAGATGGAGGAGGCCGCCCAGGGAGAGGCCGGCAGAAGATTAAAGCTAGGTGGGCCTGGAGAGGGCGACAAGGACGGGGATGAGGAGCTGTGGAGGCACGCAGGAAACCTCGGTCAAGAAGCAAAGGAGGAGACACTGTGGAGGCTGACAAGTCGGAGTGGAAATGGGGCACGAGGAGCCTCAGACAGCCAGAGGACCTGCCGGTGGTGCCTAGCCAGTGCCCAGGCCCCGGGGAGGAAGGCCAGGGCTGAGCTAGCTGGCGCTGCACCCTGTGGTACCGCTCGAGGCAAGGGCGACAGCAGGGCCGGGAGGGAGATACAGGGGCTGACCAGAAGCTGGTCGGACCAGGCAGTGACAGCGGGGAGCAGGGAGCAAGGCCTGAGCCCCTCATTACCTTTGTGGCAAGCGCCTCCCAGGCAGAGGAGACCCTCACCCCGCTGCGGGACTCAAAGGGCCTGTTCCCTGAGCTCTATGGCCTCCTGCAGGACTCCTGCCCCAGGTGCTGCACCGGACAATAAAGCAATAGCAGCTGCTTAGTACTGACGCCTGCCAAGGTGTGTCCAGGTGTAAACGGTCTATTCTAACATAACGGCTCTAGCAAGGAGCTAAGTGGGAGAAGATTCCCTCCCCCATCAACCTGACCCTGCAATTAGAGCCCATCTTATGGATAGATGCACATTTTATGTCTTGAAATTTTTAGAGGTGATTAATTTAGCTAGCCAAACTAAATTAAATGATATTTTTCAAATACATCCCAACAGTCTTTGCATTCCTACTCTTAGACATTACAATGATTCTTTTAAAGGGGATCCAAGTGCTTTGGGTCTTCTGACACTTATCGTGTTCAAAGATAAAATTAATTACTTAAAGGAAAAGCATTTTTAGGTGCTCCTAGACACAAGTGCGGATGGCCTCCGGGTGTGCAGCTGCAAGTCCTTAGGGTGTGGCTGGTATTTCCTGACTTAGTGGAGGTGCTGAATTGCTGACCTGGAGGGAGGCAAACAGGCCATTCTCTCAGGAACAGTTTCACAAGGAATAAAGACTCATAGGAAATAGAGCGAATTTTAAAAGATAAAAAGGTAGTTTACATTTTTCCCCGAAGGTGATAAATTTAAAAGGCTATTTCCATCCCCAATATAAAAGTTTGCCTTTAGTTTAAAACGAATCATATTTTCTAAGATTTACAATAAGGGAGATAATTTTAAAGGTTATTTTAAAAACACCATAATTTCCATAACTAAAACTTTGTTCCTTGTCTCAAAAAGTATATATTTCATTGATTGATTTGGTCTTTTACAGTTATAGTAAGAAATTTTCCCTCATTTTAGATTATACAGTTAATAAAACTGTCTTGTTTTAATTACAGTTTTCTTCTTGACATCATATATAGCATTTGCTATTGATTTACAAGTCTTTGGTGCTCTCGTGATTCCTAGTGATGTTGATTGCCTGTTTTACAGTCCAAAGTTAAATTGGTATAAAATAAAAAGGCTTTAGTATTTTACAAATAGATATAAAAGTTTAAAATACAATCTAAAACCAGTGCAGTTTAAACAGTCGCTTAATTTTGACATCCCATTTAAATAATGGCAGGTCAAATATTGGCCTCCAAAGAGTACAAGCTATGATAACTTTTTCATATTTGGGTGACCTGTTCCAACAGACAATTTACCCAAACTCTTTAGATCAATCTAAAATGATTTTCAGACTATTTGGTAATATTAATTGGCTCCACCCAGAGTTTGGACTTATTTCTCAGGTGTTATTAATTATCATTATTCTTCAGACAAGTTGTTTCAAATTGCTTCTGTTTTCACAGATGGGTCATCTTAGGCTAGAGGAGGTTATATGATGATTTCCTCTTCCAAAATATTGGATACAGGTTTCTCACTTTATCATCAAAATTCAAGTTACAAAAAGGGGAGTCAATCCCTCCCATTTCACTTGTTGATATATACTAATTAAATTTTTAAAATTTTATAAATGATGGAAGTACAGTGGCAGAAAGACAGTTCCATCAGGTAAAAGAAAAAAGGTTAAGAAGAGCCCTTTAGAGATATCTCCACACTGGACAATGGAAGGGACCCAGTCTACTATTTACCTGGATTGGAGGTATGCTTGTGTTTTTCCAGAGAATGCTGAGCAACATATTTGGGTACCAGAGTGCCCAAATATCTGGCTACATCATGAACTCAGATCTGGAGAAGAAGTTGCTTCTACCTTTGGAGGAGCTAAGGTGCAGTCCTGTGATAGTGACACCTCAGACTGCTCTACAGCACATAGACATGATGAGGCTAAACCCGACCTGGGGCCAAAGAAATTGATGCAGAAGGCCCAGGAAGTAGTAATCAAAATGGGAATTAAAGATTTAAATAAGTGACAGAGTATATAGAGATAATTGACTTGAAAATTATCAGTATTCTTAAGACACAATAAAATACAAAGAATATATGTATATATTCATTATAGACAAAGGATTGTGTTTTATCTAATTTTTTCTGATAAGAGATCTCTGCTAATTGACAACAAAATCTGACTAGTCTATTTAAATTATAAATTTCTAAAATTATAATAGAGTTACTACAATTCAATTTGGTCAAAGATATATTTGAGTGCACTCTGATTCTGTACAGATGTTTGTTTGCTCTGTGTACTTGTTTACGTGTTTGTCTGTCACTCAGTGAACAGCTGTTCCCCTTTATTTTGAGCTCAACAATTTTTCTTTTATCATTTGTTTATAATACAATTGGGTTATAGATTTAAAAGCATGCTTTCATCTGAGTTACCAGCTGGTTTTTATGATATAGAAATTAAGATATTTATCTATAGTCCTTAGGTGGAGAAATTATTGGGTAGGACTCCAACTGGTGAATTGAGGAGTGGCCAACCTTTGTTCACTAATAAGGAACCCCCAGTGATCTCCATAGTATCTTGGGAGACACCCCAGTAATGGGGTCATTTGGTCAGAAGAAAGTTTTTCAGTAAAAATTCCAATAAAGTTTTCTCATAAATGATGCTCTTGGTACAAAAACTAAATTTTAACAAAGGTTTTAACATGTGTATGGTAATTCATTAGTGTTAATCTCATGGTGCATTAAATGTGTTCATGATTCCAAATCTATAGGTCTTCCAAAATACAAAACAAAGATTATGTAGTGTGATAAGACTTACCTTCAGATTCCGACCTCTGCCTTTAACAAAAACTTGTGATGTATAAACTACTAAAAGACAACAAATTAGATAAAAGCTTCACTGGATAGAGATGATTGGTTAAAAAAGGTCACATTATGTCATAACGAAAATTTAAGTATGTTACAAAATGTCATGATTGTCATGTAGCAATGTTATGTATGGTTTTGATTTCTAAGTTTCTAGGTAAAAATATGTAACAGTTGTTTGTTAACATTCTATTAGGGTTTAAACATTAGGATGTCCACAGTTGGGAAAAAATAATGGTTCCATTTGTATGTTGTAAGGTGTTTGCTATTCAGGTCAGATTGTAATAATAAGCTTATTACCTCTATTAGAATGTTATGTCATTAATCTCTGCTGGATGTTTAACAACTGAGGTTTGGAGACCAAAAATTAGAGAGATAAATTGTGCTAAGAGGACAGCCAATATTTTGGCCACGCCTTGCCCGGTCAGTGAAGACTCAGAACGTAAGAGAACCTGTGCTGTGACATCCTACAACTCAGTTGAGTCCCTGATTTTCTGATCAAGGAGATTATGGGACCACAGAGGAAAGCGATTCTGAGATATACAGCATGCCTAAGGAGAGTCACCAGGAGAGGAAAAGTCTCTCAGGCTTTCACAGAAAGCACCTTGGTCAAGCAATGGCCGTGACTCATCCAGATGGCTGACACTGACAGAAGATCTAGAGATGCTGTACTTGGTTCCAAGATGATTCTGGAGGAGACTTAACTCACCCTGATAGTTAGCAAAAGGTTAAATTTTTATTTATACAGGTCTCACTTTAGCTTGGTCTTAAATATCCAGCAGAAAAGTGTAACCACAATGGGGTTGAACCTCCTTGGGTCCAGGGACCTGGGCCCATGGTAAGCGGTGACACGGTGAAAAGAGACACCGGAGACCAGGCTGATGGCGCAGACTTATTTTATTGCGGAAGTGCCAGGCATTTTATAGAGCAGGCTAGAGGCATGGTTTGGAGGTGGTACTATAGGCGGGGGTCGGTGCGGAAGTAAGAGGTCAGAGCGGGACAGGCTAGGGGGGCGACTCACTCGGTTTGCCAAGGACATGACGAGTATGAGTTTGCTCAGACCCGCTCCTCCGCCACAGCCGTCAACCAGACCTCTGGACCCCTTTTTCCCACAGATTTCCCCTCTTTTTTTATAAATGCCAATTGAATTGAGGCCATCATAGCCTGTTTAGAAGTTATCATTTGTAACCGGGCATATATTATACGAAGCGTGATAATCGCAACGAGTCCTAGAAGTCCCAAGAATCCAATGGTAAGTAAATTGGCTGGTGAGAATAGGCGCTGTAGGTTGTGTAGGAGATCGGAGAGGACATTGTCTGTTAGAATAGGAACTTGGATAGAGTCAATAGCTTGTATTTGTTCAGTTAGTTGAAGGGAGAGGTTGAGTAAGTGCTGTTGTGTGGACCAAGGATCCACTCAAGGAGCGAAAGACGAGCAGAAGAGAGGTTGGCTGGTTTTGGTGTGACACAAAGTAGGGTCGACGAGAAGTGTTGGTCACAGGCAGTGGTAGCAATGCGCCAAAGGTCTTGAATTTCATTGTCCATGAGGTCAAGTTGTTGTTGGAGATTAAGAAGAGACATATGGGTATAGGTGTTAAGCTGTTTTTGTACTCAGAAAGTCTCAGCGGCAGTATGGGAAAGGTTGTTAAGTCCTTGAGCAGTCACAGTGGATTGGGTGAGCACGACGGTTGCTGTGGCTCCTGCTGCTGCGGCTGTAATAAAAGCAACAATAAGGGTGATAATAGCAGAGGCTCGAAAATATCTCTTGTGTATCTGTAGGGAGGTGGAAGAAAGCCGGATAGGAAGTGATGGAGCTACCCAATTAGAGATATTAACTGGCACCCAGAGGACAGAGGGGGTGCGAAGGATGAGCATATATGGAGGGGTTCCATTCCAGCAGTTAGACAGGTAGCAGGTACCTGCCGAGGAGCAGTTAAAAGAGGCACCTGTGGACAAGAGAAGTAAAAACAGGGGCGCAACACAGGCTGTTGAAAAATATGAGTAGTTATTTTTGTGAGTGAGGTTAACTAAAGGTGACCAGGAGATGTCATTGGGGGGCAAGCTCTGTGAGCAGAGGGAGTCGATTGTCGATATTTGAGCCAGACCACCGGTGCACATCTCAGTGGTACCACCGGAGCCACTGGTGGCATTAAGGAGGCTAAGGTGGGGAATAGAATAGGTGCCGTTAGTGATAGAGGTATTTCCCATGAGCATCAACGGAAGGAGGTCAAGGCATCTGAAGGTTCCGCATAACTGATGGGAGGAGAATATAGAACATCTCCCTGTGAAGGAAAATAGGTTGCATCCCGTAAAGGGGAGGGATCAATTGTCCCCAGGGTGAAGAAAAGGAGAGGTCCATAGAGCTGTATAGTTGTCATTTTTGAAAGGTCTAAGTGAAGAAAGGCAGGCATCCCAAGTGATATCTATAAGTCAGAAATCAGGATTGGAGGGTATAGGTTTGCAAGGAGCGAATAGTGGTTGAGCAGTATCGAAGATTTTATCAGAGAAGCAGGGAAAGTTCTGAAGCATGGTGTT